GGTATGAGGTTGGAGTCCCGCCATAGGCACCCAATTGTGGTGATACACATCTTTGATCTCGCCAGGTTCAATATCACACCTAACCTAGCGGGACAGTGTGTGGTTTGCTATTCGAAGTCCCGGGATTTAGGTTACCGGATTCCATCATTGAACAGCAGGTCCTCTTGACTATTGGGTTCAATCCACCTGCTGTTCATCAATAAGTAAGTCTAACAAAAAGTGAACGAAATAACGTACTGCATGAGAATAATGAAGGATGAATTAGTCGTGTAGATGAGGCGTGAGCTTAAATTCTGGGAAGCACTGGGCGGCTGCTTCGACCTGTTTCGGTCTCATCAGCAGTGCGAATCCATCGACCCAACTGGGGACCTCATAGGCTGAACGCAAGTATACTACCCACTAAGCCATCGGGCAGCTGATCAGACCCGGTTCGTTTTCCATTTGGGTCGACGGATTCGCACTGTTGATGAGACCGAACCTGGTTGAAACTGCTATTCCATCTTCTTCGCTCATGCCTCAATTACATGACGAATTCATCACATAAATAACACATCGGAAACCAATAAATCCATCGCACAGGGATAATCACCTTCAAATTTTTAAAAGCCGCTTTTATTCAGTTCTTGATCGTTTTGAGCATGTAAAAACAACTATGGCTGTTTCGTCACATAAAGGGAACACAGCCCGATGGTGGTGGCCCGGTGATAACATCACCAGAATATCACCACCACCACCACCCCGCCCCCCCAGAGGACGCGTGTTCGAATTTTGCCCCACAACCACCACTATTTAACTCATTTGTTGTATAGCAGCCCGTTCCTGATAATTTCATTACTGTGTATTCAATAAAAAGTAATAAAAAATGAAAAAAGTAAAAATAATTCCTATGGCGAAACGTGGAAGATGGTGATCAGCTCATCTCGGTTCCCGGTTGTTAACAATCAGTAGTCAGCTTGGCTACTTGTGTAATAGCCGCAACAATCGGACGAAGATCGTAAGAGAACCAATTTGCCACAAAATGCTCTGTGAACAGCAACAGTGTCATCTGATGCTGATATTGAGGTTTTCAAAAACAAACAAACAAACTGGGTAACCAAATGGTCAGTGCGTTGCAAAAGCTCTGAGGTATAGAAACGAACAAGCATATGTGCTCGATACTTACCGATTCTTCCGCTCGTGTCTCATTCCAGATAAGCAACAAAGTTAATACCAGAAAAGTCCCACAGAGTCGATAAGACATGATCTGTGGGAAAATAAAGTCGGCAGTTACTCAATCATGGTAATCAAATATAATTAAAAAACAATTGAGAACGTCCTTCATTCAAGCAATCCCTATTTAGCATACAATGTTATTGATTTTTAGGACATAGAGAAACTGCTTACTCATCGCTTGTCATTCGACTTGAATTCGCAAAGCGTTATTCGATTTAATTTTATCGAAGCTCAACTTCACATCATGTGTTTAAACATTCATCAATTTAAAGAAAAACATAACTTTTTTATGCCTTTTAATTCTATCACCGCCGTGGTTTGATCTCTCTGGTTTGAATTGCCAAACAATTAAACGTAAAATCACTATAGTTTTCATTGTATAATCACTAACAGTAAACTGTGGATTTGTTTGTTGTTTTCACGAAGAAAACCCGTTGGGTAGTTGGTGCATAACAAACGAATTTGCTGGAACAACAGACAGTCGAAGGTAAGAAATGTTTCGATGAATAAGTGCAAATGTGTAACGTTTAATCAGTCACGTTTGGTTGATTTTCCATTAGGAAAAAACGCACAGCAAAATAAAAAAGCATTAGACATGTACATATGGCTAACCTCCCACCCCAACCCGGGATAATGCTAAGTTTTTAGGCTTGCTAAAACTACAACCGTGTAAAAGCGTTTTGTCAACTGAGAACAGACCAGTCAAACAACTGGATGTGCCCCACTTGATGAAAACAATTTAACTGATGGAATATATATATATATATATATCGGTTTGCATTGAGTCAGTGTGCAGATGATTGTCGACGTTTTGTTTCTTTGTAAACTAGGCGACATACATTTCATCTTACCCCTCACAGAGGGAATCAACAACCATGATCTAATCGATCACAGTGGATAGACCGATCAACCTTTTATCAGTTACGTGCTGCGTACCGTATCATTAGGAGCTGTTTCTCCAAAAATGAACAAATACTTTCTTGGTCGAGAGATCGATTGATTTTGTTCCGTTAGTTGCCTCTAATGCTGGTTGTTCTTTACCCATGTATTGTTGTTCCTTCATAAGAATGCCTTTTAATAGGATTAGGATAATTTTAGTCCGAAAAATCTAGAAAAATGGAAGCTCCGAATAACAATCAAACAACGAGCTTCAATTTAACGCGATTAAATAAATGCAAGATTCTCAGTGGAGATGAATGCGTTGGTTTCAATACACGGATTCCTTCTGGCTATATTGTCTGATTAATAACCACGTAATACAATAGTCTGATTTGTAAGAACTAAAATTTCGATCTGTGGTACAAACTTCAGATCAAATTTTGATACTTGCAGTCGATGGTCAGACACCACCATCCGTGATGGCGAATCTTACGAGTATAACATCAAAATCTTCTGTCTCTCTCTCTATGTTATCATGTTTTCATTTAAGTTTTTTCACTCACATATTTAGCGATTTCTTAAGGGATTGAAAAATCTCTTACACTGATGAGCCCTGAATTTTATTCCCAAACAAAATGTCAGATATCAAAAATCTACCAATAGATTGGTACAGCGCTTCATATTCAACA